ACTTGCCAGGTTCAAGTGCTTCTCCTGCCTCAGCCTCCCAAGTAGCTGGATTACAGGCATGAGCCATCACACCTGGCTAAATTTTGTATTTTGGTAGAGATGAGGTTTCACAATGTTGGCCAGGCTGGTCTTAAACTCCTGACCTCAAGTGATCCACCTGCCTTGGCATCCCAAAGTGCAGGGATTACAGAGGTGAGCCACTGCACCCGCCATACACTTATTAATCTTGGAGTATTGTATCACAAAATTGGTGCAGAAAACCTTGAAGGGAAGATTCATTTTGTGATTTCAAGCCTCACTGCCTGTGATCTCAGCTACTCGGGAGGCTGAGGAGGGAGGACTGCTTGAGCCTGGGAGGTTGAAGCTGTAGTGAGCCAGGATCATACCACTGCACTCCGGCCTGGGTGATGGAGTGAAACTCTGTCCCAAAAAGTAGTAAAGGCAAGTACCTGGCCCCTCCCTTGAGGCCGAGGTTACACAAAGGCCTTCATGATCAGCACTTCTTGCATGCTTCTCACCTTATACTCCCTTTCATTCTGTTTACTGACTGGATTTTCTCAAAGCATGAGGTCCTTTTTTTTTTTTTTTTTTTTTTTGAGATGGAGTTTTGTTCTTGTTGCCCAGGCTGGAGTCCAATGATGCTCTCTTAGCTGACTGCAGCCTCTACCTCCCAGGTTCAAGCAATTGTCCTGCCTCAGCCTCCGGAGTAGCTGGAATTACAGGCACCCACCATGACTCCTAGCTAATTTTTTCTATTTTTAGTAGAGATGGGTTTTCACTATGTTGGCTAGACTAGTCTCCAATTCCTGGCCTCAGGTGATCCACCCGTCTTGGCTTCCCAAAGTGCTAGGATTACAGGCGTGAGCCACTGCACCCGACCATTAGGTCCTTATTTATTTTTTGGAGACCGAGTCTCATTGTCGCCCAGGGTGGAGTGCAATGGTGTGATCTCAGCTCACTGCAACCTCTGCTTCCCGGGTTCAAGCAATTCTCCTGCCTCAGTCTCCTGGGTAGCTGGAACTGTCTATGGCCATACCACCCTGAATGTGCCTGATCCCATCTGAATACCTGGGACTACAGGCACATGCCACCACACCCAGCTAATTTTTGTATTTTAGTAGAGATGGAGTTTCACCATGTTGCCCAGGCTGGTCTTGAACTCTTGAGCTCAGGCAGTCCACCCACCTCAGCCTCCCAAAGTGCTAGGATTATAGGTGTGAGCCATTGTACCAGGCCATAGGTCCTTATTGTTAAAGAAATTACCTTAGAGCTAGGGGTCTTTTCTGCAGTGACTTATTCTCACATGGACTTACGGATCATTATGATGTCCAGCAGAAGAACACTAGAGTACACACAAGCCATCCTGGCCTCAGTCAGATTCCCTGCTGTCTCCTGATGCCTGTATTACCACTTTGATGATTTTGTTTTGGGAACAGGGTCTCACTTCAACCTCAAACTCCAAGCCTCTGGTGATCCTCCCACCTCAGCCTCCCAATTAGCTAGGGTGACAGGTCCATGCCACCATGTCCAGCTAGGATTTAAAATTGTTTTTGTAGATATGGGGGTCTCACTATGTTGCCCAGGCTTGTTTTGAGCTTCCAGGTTCAAGTGATCCTCCTGCCTCCCAGTTAGCCAGGCATGGTGGCTCATGCCTAGTTTTTTTTCCGGTAGAGATGGAGTTTTACTATGTTGCCTCAAAACGATTCTTTTGGCTCAGCCTCCACAAATGCTGAGATTACAGGCATGAGCCACCATACCTGAACACAAGAGAAAGCCTGTTTTATAACCACAGGGAAAAGACTGAAGATCCTACAGGAAGACTTAGCAACCAAGATCTTAGTGGGGACAGCAGAGCAGAATAAAAGGACAAATGAAAATAGACGGTCGGGCATATGGATCATGCCTGTAGTCCCACCTCAGGAGGCTGAGGCAGGAAGATCCCTTGAGCCCAGGAGTTCGAGAACACCCTGGACAACATAGGGAGACCCCATCTCTACAAAAATAAATAAAAAATTGGCTCAGTGTGAAGGCGTGTGCCTGTAGTACCATCAACTCGGGAGGCTGAAGTAAGAGGATTGCTTGAGCCCAGGAGTTGGAGGCTGCAGTGACTTATGATCACTCCATTGCACTCCAGTCTGGATGACAGAGCAAGTCCTTGTCTCAAAGGGGGCCAGGTGCAGTGGTTCAAGTCTGTAATCCCAGCACCTTAGGAGGCAAAGGCGGGAGGATCACCTGAGGTCAGGAGTTCAAGACTAGCCTAGCCAACACAGACAAACCCCATCTCTACTAAAAAAAAATATATATATATATATATATACACACACAAAAATTAGCTGGATATGGTGGCACACACTTGTAATCCCAGCTAAGCAGGAGGCTGAAGCAGGAGAATCATTTGAACCCAGGAGGCAGAGGTTGCAGTGAGTCGAGATCACACCACTGCACTGCAGCCTGGGTGACAGAGCCAGACTCTGTCTCAAAAAGAAAAAGAGAAAATAGACCATGCCTTTCTCTAAAATCCAGGAACAGGAAAGGAAGTGTGCAGTGATGTGTGCAAGTGGCAGCATCACTGAGCATCTCAAGGTTTAGGGCCGAATGTCCTAAACAAAGATCTCAGCTTCTTGCAAAGATCTGAGGCTTTTTTTTTTTTTTTTTTGAGACAGAATCTCACTCTATCGCCCAGGCTGGAGTGCAATCTCGGCTTATAATCTCTGCCTCCCAGGTGCAAGCAATTCTCCTGCCTCAGCCTCCCGAGTAGCATGCTACCACGCCTGGCTAATTTTTGTATTTTTAGTAGAGATGGAGTTTCACCATGTTGGACAGGATGGTCTCGATCTCCTGACCTCAGGTGATCCACCTACCTTGGCCTCCCAAAGTGCTGAGATTACAGGCGTGAGCCATTAGCTGGACCAAGATCCCAGGCTTTTAAGAACAGTTGCCTGAAGCAAGAGAACATCCAGCCAGGTGTGGTGGCTCACACTTAAAATCCCAGCACTTTGGGAGGCTAAGGTGGGTGGATCACCCGGGGTGAGGAGTTTGAAACCAGCCTGACCAATATGGTGTAAACCCCGCCTCTACTAAAAACACAAAATTAGCTGGGTGTGGTGGCGGGCACCTGTAATCCCAGCTACTTGGGAGGCTAAGGCAGGTGAACTGCTTGAACCCGGGAGGCGGAGGGTGCAGTGAGCTCAAATTGCACCACTGCACCCCAAACTGGGCGACAGAATAAGACTTGTTCTCAAAACGAGAGAACATCCATGGTTCTGCTTTGTAGACTTCCGGGAGCCTCATCCCCCGGCCCCTGCAGGCCGCCTGCTCACCTGGGAAGTGCCACATGCTCATCTCCTCCTCCTCCATCCATAGCTCTTTCCCCTGCTCCAACCTGAAGATCACAGCTGGTTTGCCAACTTGACACCGTGTTTGGGAGAAACAGTTATCGGATTTGTGCTGAGCCAGCTGGGCCTTCCCAGCAAGTGGACTGTTAGTTCAGCCTGCAAAACAAAAGGTGGACATCTCAGCCACGGAAAACCTGATTCACTTGGGAGGTAACTCCACAAAGACTCCAAGTGAGATCCAGACTCTGACTGCTGAAACCCAAGGCCAAGCCCTTTTATTTTTGACACAGGGTCTTGTTCTTTTAACCAGCTTGGAGTGCAATGGCACAATCACAGCTCGCCACAGCCTCAACCTCCTGCACTTAAGCAAGCCTCCTGCCTCAGCCTCCCGAGTAGTTGGGACTACAGGCATGCATCATCATGCTTAATTTTTTAATTTTTTGGTAGAGACGGGATCTTGCTATGTTGCCCAGGCTAGTCTTGAACTTGGGCCTCAAGTGATCCTTCCATTTCAGACTCCCAAGTAGCTGGGACTGCAGGCACATGCCACCATGCCTGGCTAATTTTTTATTTTTAATTTGTATAGATTGAGTCTTGCTATGTTGCCCAGTCTGGTCTTGAACCCGTGGCCTCAAGCAATCCTCCCACCTCAGCCTCCCAAAGTGCTGGGATCAAAACCATGAGCCACCACACCTAGCCTAGCACTTTTAGTGCACGAGAGGCTTCCCAGTTTTATACAACTAAGAAAGGAAAGAGGTCATGTAACCCAAAGAACACTAGGAACCCTTCCTCACCCACAGAGAGCAAGTGGCTGCAGTCCTCCAGCATCACGTCCCGGTACAGGGTCCTCTGCTCCAGGTCCAGCTGCTGCCACTCTTTCCAGGTGAAGCCCACAGCCATGTCCCCGAAGGACAGTGATCCCTAGAACAGCACACGGCTGATTAATGTGGAGTGGTTGGCAATGGGTACCATGGCAAAAGCATAGAGGAAACAGATCTTACCACCTTCCAAAGTCACTTTCCCCATGTTAAGTAATATCGGAAGCTTAGCACACCCCTAACTTTGTACTACATTTTGTGGGAGAGAAAAAAAGATTAGAAAAAAAAAAATCTCGGCCGGGTGTGGTGGCTCATGCCTGTAATCCCACCACTTTGGGATGCTGAGGTGGGTGGACCACTTGAGGTCAGGAGTTCGAGACCAGCCTGGCCAACATGGTAAAACCCCATCTCTACTAAAAATACAAAAATTAGCTGGGCATGGTGGCAGGTGCCTGTAATCCCAGCTATACAGGAGGCTGAGGCAGGAAAATCACCTGAACCTGGGAGACAGAGGTTGCAGTGAACTGAGATCCTGCCATTGCACTCCATTCTGAACAACAGAGTGAGATTCCATCTCAAAAAAAAAAAAAAAAAAAATCTCATTACTGGATCTCCATTCATTCCTTCAGTGACCAAGCATCTTCCAAGGACCTGGCATACTGCTGGTGTTTACTAGGTGCTTGGGGTCAAGGGCTGAACACAGAATTGTTCCTGTTCTAAAGGTGCTGCTGCCAGATGAACACATGAACACAGCCGTACGGTCCAATTACACTGAAGGTGGTGGTAGACATGCAGTTACGTACAGAATGGGCATGAGGAAGATGGCAGCCAGATCCAATATACTCATGTCACGTGAAGTTTCCTAGGAGGTCACGGGTGAGCAGAATCAAAGATAAACGGTGATCTGATGTCTGAAGGATATTCCTAGCAAGACACCTGGCATGAGCAAAGGAGGCACAGAAAAGTCTGGTAGAAACTAGGAACAGAATGAAATGCAGGGTATAAGGGGTGTGTGGGAGAGGGAGAGAGCCCACGAGCAGCTCACAGAAGTGACTGTTTTCCCTATAGGAAATGGGGACTCCCACATCATAGTAATTAAGGGAGGGAACTACAGATGATCTGATGTGGAAAAAGGGTGAGAGCCACAGGAAGGGAGGATAACAGAAGATCAGTTAGCACACGATTCGAATCCTCAATGTAAGATAGAGTGTTCAACAAGGCAGCAGCAAGGGAAATGTAGAGAAGGGATTCCACAAATGCAGGACCGGGCTGGGCCTCCCTCACCCCTCCCATCCCCTCGCTCCATGAATTAGAGACCCCCATTTAAATCTTTTCAATTTATACCTATTAGAAGAACATATAAGAGGGTATATCTAGATATGTGTATATGTGTGCATGACAGTAAATATATATGTGTATATATGTATATACAAATATGTGTATACATGTGTGTGTATATATCTAGACAGATAGAGAGAGCTCCTCTTTTTTTGAGACAGGGTCTCACTCTGTCCAGGCTAGAGTGCAGTGGTGTGATTATGGCTCACTGCAGCCTTTACCTCCTGGGTTTAAACCATCCTCTCGCCTCACGCCCCCACTCCCTAGTAGCTGGGACTACAGGCATGTGCCACCATGCTAGGCTAATTTTATTTAAATTTTTTGTAGACATGGGGTCTCACTATGTTTTGTTTAATGAAAGTTTAAATAATAGCAATGAGGTTGGGCAGAGTGGCTCACGTCTGTAATCCCAGGACTTTGGGAGGCCGAGGCAGGAGAATCACTGAGGTCAGGAGTTTGAGACCAGCCTGACCAACACAGTGAAACCTCATCGCTACTAAAAATACAAAACAAATCAGCCAGGCATGGTGGCAGGCACCTGTAATCCCAGCTGCTTAGGAGGCTGAGGCACGAGAATCATTTGAACCCAGGAGGCAGAGGTTGCAGTGAGCTGAGATTGTGCCATTGCACTCCAGTCTGGGTGACAGAGAAAGACTGTCTTAAAAAGGTATTTGAGGGTTGGGGGGCTTTCATCACTGCAGCAGAGGTCGAGGGAGGATGCTAGTAGTGCTGGGGTGGGCCCCGCCGACACATGCTGCTTCAGCAGGGTGGTGAGGGATGTTTATAGCCAAATGGGTGATCCAAAGTATCTCCAACAGTGGGACAAGCACATGCAGAGGAGAGACAGGAAGCAGGGCATGGCCTGCGGCAGCAGCCAGAAGCAGGAGCTATGTGGGAGTGGGGAGAGGCAATCCTCAAAGAAACCCAGAGCCCCAGTCACCCTAAGGAGCCTGCGGTCTCTTTCAGGCAACACTCTCATCTCTAGAAGACTCATGACCAAGGGCTAAAGGCTGCTGAAACCAGTGACTTTTTTTTTGAGATGGGATCTCACTGTGTGGCCCAGGCTGGAGTGCAGCGGTGCGATCGCAGCTCACGGTAGCTTTGACCTCCCTGGTTCAAGTGATCCTCTCGCCTCAGCCTCCAGCACAGCTGGAACCACAGGTGCAAGCCACCTCACCCAGCTAAGTCTTTGACTTTTTGTAGAGGCGGGGCCTCCCTATGTTGCCCAGGCTGGTCTCAAAGTCCTGGGCTCAAGTGATCCTCCCACCTCAGCTTCCCAAAGTGCTGGGATTACAGGCGTGAGCCACCCCACCTGGCCTAAGCCACTGATGTCTTAAATCAATATTGACCTCTCACTCACCAAACCGCCACTGTCCAACAGAGATACAGAATGCCAGCCCTGTGGGGGACTTTCATTTTTCAGTCACGTTTTCCTAAAAAGAGAAACAGGTGAAATTACTATCTCTTCTTTAGCCCAATATATCCAAGATACTGTCATTTTGACATCTAATAATTTTTAAATCACTAATTTTTTCATTCTTTTTCACACCATATCAAATATGTATTTTATACTCACAGCACATCTCAATCAAGATACTGTATTTTAGGCCACGTACAGTGGCTTATGCCTCTAATCCCAGCACTTTGGGAGGCCGAGGTGGGCGAGTCATGAGGTCAGGAGATCGAGACCACCCTGGCTAACACCGTGAATCCCTGTCTCTACTAAAAACATAAAAAAATTAGCCAGGTGTGATGGTAGGTACCTGTAGTCCTACTTACTCAGGAGGCTGAGGCAGGAGAATCGCTTGAACCAGAGAGGCAGAGGTTGCAGTGAGCCAAGATCACGCCACTGGTATTGCACCACTGCACTCCAGCCTGGGCAACAAAGTGAGAATCCATCTTTAAAAAAAAAAAAAAAAAAAAAACTATTTTAAATGGTTGCAATAAAATACAGTCTTATCCAAATTATAAAATTGTGTTTAACAATATTTTCCTCTGGTTCAGTTTTAAAATTTAAATGTAAATTTAAAATTCAGGTCTGCAGCCACACGTGGCTAATGGCTACCTTCTTTGACAGTGTGGTGTAGACTGCACAGATGCCAGTGTATTCCTGCGCTGGGCACAGGGATTGGTAGACACAACTATAGTTCCATAGTCTGACTGCATTCATATTCCAACTCCACCACTTAATAACAGATGTGAGACCTCAGACAGCTTAATATCTCTAGCCTCAGTTTGTTCATCTGTTAAGATGGGGAGAGGTGGATTATGTCATTCCTACATAATTTACATACATATTTTTTTCCAGTATTCAAAACAATATATACATATAATTTCTAGTTGATACATATGTCTATGTAGTTTGTTTTTATTTTTTTTGAGATGGAATCTTGCTCTGTGGCCCAGGCTGGAGTGCAGTGGTGCAATACCAGTTCACTGCAACATCTGCCTCCTGGGTTCAAGCGATTCTCCTGCCTCAGCCTCCTGAGTAGCTGGGATTACAGGCACATGCCCAACTAATTTATTATTATTTAGTATTTTTAAATAGAGACGGGGTTTCTCCATGAGGCCAGGCTGGTCTCAAACTCCTGACCTCAGATGGTCCACCCACCTCAGCCTCTCAAAGTGCTGGGATTACAGGCATGAGCTAAGCTATCCCGCCTAGTATCTACATAGTTTAAATATATATAAATATATATATATATCACACACACACATACACATATACATATATATACACATACATGTCTATGTAGTTTATATACATGTTTAGTTTATACACAATGTCTATGTAGTTAATATATGTGTCTGTAATTTCTATGTAATTCATATATAATTTCCATGTAAATATTTCTATAGATATACCTCTCACGGGTTTATTTATGAAATAATATATAAAAAGTGCAGAGACCAGCACAAAAGTGCTGGACAGGCAGCATTTAAAACCATTATTATCATCTTTAGTACACAGACTGCCCTAATAGGCAGGCATGCCCAGTAGACTTGGCTTCCTAAAACACAGTGGCCCCCAGCTTACAGCTTCATGGACAGGATAGGTGTGGCTCGCCACCTTTTTCCAGCCTCTCCTGCTGAGATATTTCTTGTGTGAACACCCAGACATCCTTGGCTTCACAAAGCACTGACAAAGAAACCCAGGCCCTGTGAATGTTTTCCTTCCTGGAGTTGGAACGGTAATGTTTGTTCATGAGGCCTCATCTTCCTCTAGGACCAACCCCCTCCTGCCCCTCTGCCCTGTGCACGGCTGCCTGGAGAGAGGGCCTAATACACCTGAGCTAGGCTGGACCAACGGTATCTTCCCTGAAGAGCTTTCACATTGGACCAAGGAAAAGAGATTCAGCCCCTGACCACGGCAGAACTTGCAGATGTGAGAAGAGGAGCTGTGGCCATGCTACTTCTGGCCACATGGACAAAGTCCGCGTGAGAAGAAAGTCACAGAAGCAGGGAACAAGATACCTGACGATACCTGGGTTGCTGGATGCCTCTGGTGCCCGACTGCAAACCTGCTCTTCTCATGGCTTGGGTGCTGCCTTGTAGATTTTTTTTTTTCAATAGGTTCTCCCTCTGTCACCCAGGCTGCGGTGCAATGGCACAATCACAGCTCATTGCAGCCTTGACCTCCTAGGCTCAAGTGATCCTCCCACCTTAGCCTCTAGAATAACTGGGACTACAGGCATGTGCCAACACGCCTGGCTAAGTTTTGTATTTTTTGTAGGGACAGGGTCTTGCCACATTACTCAGGCTGGTCTTGAACTCCTGGCCTCAAGCAATCCTCCTGCCTCAGCCTCCCAAAGTTCTAGAATTACTACTTTTTAAAAATATCCTAACCTACTTCTAGTTGGATTTCTGGCTCTTACAACTACAAGGATTATAACTTCTGATCAGTGCACTCCACATTCACACATCCCTAGAACATACAGTGAAGAGGAGCAGAAGGAGAATGCCTCCAGGCTGATGGAAAACACTGATGTCACTCACAGGCAAAGAAAGCTAACAAACAGCCAAGTAACAAAAAATACAAAGGAAGGCCAGGAGCATTGGCTCATGTCTGTCATCACAGCACTCTGAGTGGGCGGATCACCTGAGGTCAGGAGTTCGAGACCAGCCTGGCTAATACGGTGAAACTCCATCTCTACTAAAAATACAGAACTTAGCCAGGCATGGTGGTGCATGCCTGTAATCGAAGCTACTCAGGAGGCTGAGGCAGGGGAATCACTTAAACCCGGGAGGTAGAGGTTGCAGTGAACCAAGATCGTGCCACTGCACTCGAGCCTGGGCGACAGAGCAGGACTCCATCTCAAAAAACTTTTTTAATTAAAAAAATAACCAGCCAGGCACGGTGGCTCATGCCTGTAATCCCAGCACTTTGGGAGGCCAAGGTGGGTGGATCACAAGGTCCGGAGTTCAAGACCAGCCTGGCCAATATGGTAAAACTCCATCTCTACTAAAAATACAAAAATTAGCTAGGCGTGGTGGCATACACCTATAGTCTCAGCTGCTCGGGAGGCTAAGGCAGGAGAATCGCTTGAACTGGGGAGGTAGAGGTTGCAGTGAGCCAGGATTATGCCACTGCACTCCTGCCTGGGTAAAAGAGCAAGACTGTGTCCCAAAAAAAAAAAAAATACAAAATTATCTGGGCATGGTGGCACACACTTTTAATCCCAGCTACTCAAGAGGCTGAGGCAGAAGAATTGCTTGAACCCGGGAGGTGAGGTTGCAGTGAGCCGAGATCGCGCCACTGCACTCCAGCCTGGCGACAGAGTGAGACTCCTTCTTAAGTAAGTAAATAAATAAACCATCATGGCAAGCAATTTCAGACAAGATCAGGTATGTTCAGGGTGGTATGACGGTAGACATGGCAAGCCATTTCAGGAACACATAGTTCATTCATTCCTCTAGATCATGCCATGTTACATCTAGGTCATGTGGAGCCACATAAGGCTGTCCCTGTAGACCTGAGTGTTCATCACTAAACAACCACAGTCACAGACGTCTGCTTTGGCATAATACCTGCTGTTTCTACACGGGGGAAGAAAAGTCACAAGAGATGGGTGTTGTGTTTCTTTCAAGGTGGCTGTGATTGAGGAAGGGGCCTGTCACATCGCGAATACAAAGATCAAATATATTTCTAAATGCCCAAAAGTGCTTTATTTCCCCTGAGAAGTAGACACGGTTGTCCAAAACAGACAACACAAGTCATATACGAGATGGAGGCCATCTGCCCTTTTGAAGTGACAGGAATGTCAGACATAAATTTACAAGGCATCTGGCCAGGCGTGGTGGCACACACCTGTAATCCCACCACTTTGGGAGGCCAAGGTGGGCAGATCACTTGAGGTCAGGAGTTCAAGACCAGCCTGGCCAACATGGTGAAACCCCCATCTCTACTGAAAATAAAATTAGTTGGGTGTGGTGGCACATGCCTGTAAAGAGGCTGAGGCAGGAAAATTACATGAACCCAGGAGGCAGAGGTTGCAGTGAGCCGAGATTATGCCACTGCACTCCAGCCTGGGTGCTGGAGCAAGATTCCATCTCCAAAAAAATTACATTTATACATATATATACACACACACACACACATATATATATAAATATATATATACACAGGTATCTCATAACTGTGGGAGCCTCTACAGTATCTCCACCCTGCCCTTCCCACAGCCTTGATCTTCTGTTCTTTTCCTGTTTTCACTGATCCTGACTTCTGTTTGCATTTTGTTTTATCGGATACATGTTTTTTTTTTGAGACAGAGTCTTACTCTGTCACCCAGACTGGAGTACAGTGGTGCAATCTCGCTCACTGCAGCCTCCGCCTCCCAGGTTCAAGCAATTCTCCTGTCTCAGCCTCCCAAGTAGCTGGGGCTACAAGTACCCATCTCCACAACTGGCTAATTTTGTATTTTTAGTAGAGACAGGGTTTCACTATGTTGACCAGGCTAGTGGTAAAACCCTGACCTGAGGTGATCCACGCACTTTGGCCTCCCACAGAGCTGGGATTACAAGCGTGAGCCATGGTGCCCAGCTTTCATCAGACACGTTCTTATGAGCTTCCAAAATCCCTGCTGAAAACAAAGTGTGATTGAAACGCCTCACTCACCTGGGACATGGTTCTTCTCTGCTGTTCTCAGAAAGCAGACACCTGTGAAGGCAGACAGGGTGGGAAGAGAGGATGTGAGAGGCCACGCTTGCCTGGGGGCTCCCAATCAACTGCTGGGACCGCCTCCCCCCCTCTCCACCACCACCGCTCTCCCCACCCCGGGGCACAGGCGGGAGAAAGCCTTCTCTGAAGGATCCTCATTACCAGAGCAAAGCCCTCACCTTGGAAATGTGATAGGGACTCAAGCTTATGAGGCCTGACTTGGACTTTTGTTTTGTTTTTGAGACCGGGTTTCACTCTGTCACCCAGGCTGGAATGCAGTGGTGAAATCATGGCTCACTGCAGCCTTGGACTCCCAGGCTCAAGCTATCCTCCCATCTCAGCCTCCCGAGAAGCTGGGACTATGTCACATGCCCAGTTAATTTTTAAATTTTTCGGTAGAGATGGGGTCTCACTGTATTGCCCAGGCTGGTCTCAAACCCCTAGGTTCAATCAATCTGCCTGCTGCAGCCTCCCAAAACATTGGGATTACACGGTGAACCACCATGCCCGACTGGATTTTTTTCTTAATGAATATGTGTATCTGTGTCTCAGAAGTCAATGTGCAATTTACTCCAGCCCCCACCCATTACCCCGGAAATGTAATTAATAGAAATTTATTCTGAAGAAACAGGCCGGGCACAGTGGCTCACACCTGTAATCCCGGAACTTTGGGAGGCCGAAGCAGGTGGATCACCTGAGGTCAGGAGTTCAAAACCAGCTTGGCCAATATGGTGAAACCCCATCTCTCCTTAAAATAAAAAAATTAGCTGGGTGTCGTGGTGTATGCCTGTAATCCCAGCTACTCAAGAGGCTGAGGCAGCAGACTTGGGGAGCAGAGGCTGCAGTGAGCCAAGATTGCACCACTGCAGTTCAGCCTCAGTGACAGAGCAACACTCCATCTCAAAAACACACACACACACATATATATATATAGATAGATAGATAGATAGATAGATAGATAGATAGATAGATAGACAGATAGAAATTTTTGTGGGAGGGATGGGATCTTGCTCTGTTGCCCAGGCTGGAGTGCAGTAGTGGGGCATAATCTCAGCTCCCTGCAACCTCTGTCTCCTGGATTCAAGCGATTCTAGTGCCTCAGCCTCCCAAGTAGCTGGGATTACAGACATACACCATCATGTCTGGCTAATTTTTTGTATTTTTAGTACAGACGGGATTTTACCATGTTGGCCAGGCTGGTCTTGAACTCCTGACCTCAGGTGATCCACCTGCCTCAGCCTCCCAAAGTACTGGGATTACAGGTGTGAGCAACCATGCCTGGCCTATTTTTATTTTTTTGTAGAGGCCAGACACAGTGGTTCACCCTTGTAATCCCAGCTACTTGGGAGGCTGAGGCAGGAGGATTGCTTGAACCTGGGAGGCAGAGGTGGCAATGAGCTGTGATTGTACAACTACACTCCAGCCTGGGCAACAGAGCAAGACTCTGTTTAAAAAAACAAAACGTGTGTGTGTGTGTGTGTGTGTGTGTGTGTGTGTGTGTGTGTGCGCGCGCGCACCTTCTGCAGAGTCAGAGTTCTGCTATGTTGCTCAGGCTAGTCTTGAACACCTGGCCTCAAATGATCCTCCCGCCTCTATCTCCCACAGTGTTGGGATTACAAGCCTGAGTCACTGTGACTGGCCTGTTTCTTGTTTGTATACATTGACTACAAACTATAGCACCTGTAATGAGTTTGTAAACATACATCTATAAATAAAAATTCTGGGCCAGGCACAGTGGCTTATGCCTGTGATCCTAGCACTTTGGGAGGCCAAGGCTGGTGGATCGCTTGAGGTCAGGAGTTCAAGACCAGCCTGGCCAACATGGTGAAACCCAATCTCTACTAAAAATACAAAATTAACTGGGCATAGTGGCTCATGCCTGTAATCCCAGCTACTCTGGAGGCTGAGACAGGAGAATCACCTGAACCCAGGAGGTAGAAGTTTCAGTGGGCCAAGATCGTGCCATTGCACACCAGCCTGGGCAACAAAGCAAAACTCTATCTAAAAAAAAAAAAAAGATTTTGAAGAAACACAGAATATTGGCAGTGATTATCTTTGCATGGTAGGATGTTTGGTTGGGCCTTTTTTTCCTCCTTCAGATAGGGTCTCAGTCTGTTGCTCAGGCTGGAGTACAGTGGCACCTTCACAGCTCACTGCAGCCTCTGCCTCCCAGGCTCAAGTGATCCTCTGGCCTCAGCCTCCCAAGTAGCTGGGACTACAGACATGTAACACCACTCCTGGCTAACTTCTGTAATTTTTTGTGGAGATGGGGTTTCACTGTGTTGCCCAGGCCAGTCTTGAACTCCCAGGCTCAAGTGATCCTCATGCCTCAATCCACCAAAGTGCTGGGATTACAGGCATGAGCTACCACACTGGACAGATTTTTTTTCTTAATATATTGGTATTTTCTAATTTCTTAAATGATAAATTTGTGCTCATTGTTTCACATATAAATATTTCATAAGAATATAAATGTATCTTCATGCCTGTAATCCCAGCACTTTGGGAGGCCGAGGCAGGCGGATCACAAGGTCAGGAGATCAAGACCATTCTGGCCAACATGGTGAAACCCCATCTCTCCTAAAAATACAAAAAAATTAGCTGGGCATGGTGGCACGTGCCTGTAGTCCCAGCTACTTGGGAGGCTGAGGCAGTAAAATTGCTTGAACCCAGGAGGCGGAGACTGCAGTGAGCTGAGATCGCACCATTGCACTACAGCCTGGGTGACAGCTTGAGATTCCGTCTAAAAAAAAAAAAAGAATATACATGTATCGTCTTACTGTGTTTTCTCCCAATGGGCTCCTATCAAAGTCTTTCCCCAGACAAAAGGAAAAGCAGGAGAGAGCTGAAGGGGGAGAAGGTGGAATGGGGCAGGTCTTAGCCGTGAATTGTGGAACAGTGGAAGAAGCCCCTGCCTGGTGCACGGGAGCCCTGGGACTGAGGCTGGCTCACTCGCTCCTGAGCCTGATGGTTCTGAATGTCTCTCTCACACCCATTTTTTTTTTTTTTAAGTCTTTGACATAAGAAGGAAAAACAAAAAACCCAAGTTAAGAAAGCAAATTCTGGCCAGGAGCAGTGGCTCACGCCTGTAATCCCAGCACTTTGGGAGGCCAAGGTGGGCGGATCACCTGAGGTAAGGAGTTTTGAGACCAGCCTGGCCAACATGGCGAAACCACATCTTTACCGAAAATACAAAAATTAGCTGGGTGCAGTGGCAGGTGCCTGTAGTCCCAGCTACTCAGGAGGCTGAGGCAGGAGAATCACTTCAACCCAGGAGGCAGAGGTTGCAGAGTACCAAGATCAAAAAAAAAAAAAAAAATTCTCTGACTTTGGAGTTTACTCACGCTTGTTCAATCCACCTTATTTTGTTGCTGTTGTTTTTGTTTTGTTGAGCAGCCTAAAGCCACGGCTTTTCGCTTCTGCCTCTACTGGTAAGTGATAAAGAGGGATGAGGAAGGGGCTTTACTGCCCCAATCAGAAACAGAAACTAAGAAGCCATGACTGGATTCTCTCCCTTGCAAATCCCTGGTTCCATGTTGGTAGAAGCCAGGTCCAGAGGTGCCATTGGGATGGGCAGAGCTGATGCTCGGGTGGCACAGGCAAAAGAGGATGATGGTAAATGCAAATGATCCAGAGACAGTGTGGGTCCGCGACTGTCCTCTGAGCACCAGGGAGATGCTCTGCCCGTAGCGCGCAACCTTGCACTCAACTAAAACCAAGATGATCCCTTGATGTGAGCACCCATGTTTGCTCTGTCCCCAAGTGGGTTGGGGCTGTTTCAGGTACATGGACCTTGGGTTTTTTTACGGAGTCTCACTCTGTTGCCCAGGCTGGAGTGCAGCAGCACAATCTCAGCTCACTGCAACCTCCGCCTCCTGGGTGCAAGCAATTCTCCTGCCTCAGCCTCCCGAGTAGCTGGAATTACAGGCACTCACTGTCACACTTGGCTAATTTTTATATTTTTAGTAGGGACAGCATTTTGCCATGTTGGCCAGGCTGGTCTCAAGCTACCAACCTAGGTGATCCGCCCACCTCGGCCTCCAAAAGTGCTGGGATTACAGGCATGAGCCACCATGCCCAGCCCCACCTCCCAAGGTGGACCTTGGGAGCTGCCACCCTCCATATGACCCTCCAGCTTCAGTCCTAAGCTATGTGAAGAGGTCTCAGAACTGGGGTTTCCCTTTCCCTAGTAGATTCCTGCTCCCCATGCTCAGCTCCTTGACAGGAATGCTTTTACTCCCGGCATGCCTGGGTCTTGAACACTGGGGCAGATCCACCTGGCTGCCAAGGCTTTGCTCCCCAGCTGAGAACTTACCTTCAGGCAGGGACTCGAGCTTCAGCCTCTGAGCTCTTAGGACCAGGGTAGAAACAAGCTTGATGTGCTGAGAGGAGGGAGCCACCTTAGTGACAAAGTCTCATCCTGAGCTTTCGCAAAGACACTAGGAAAACCTGAAATTAAAATGATGCAGTGAACCTCACATGAAAATATTAGCAAACCTGTCATCTCAGTGCTTTTGGGAGGCTGAGGCAGGAGAATTGTTTGAGGCCAGAAGTTCAAGACTAGCCTTGGCCGGGCGCAGTGGCTCACGCCTGTAATCCCAGCGCTTTGGGAGGCCGAGGCGGGTGGATCACGAGGTCAAGAGATCGAGACCATCCTGGTCAACATGGTGAAACCCCATCTCTACTAAAAATACAAAAATTCAGCTGGGCATGGTGGCGTGTGCCTGTAATCCCAGCTACTCAGGAGGCTGAGGCAGGAGAATTGCCTGAACCCAGGAGGCGGAGGTTGCGGTGAGCCGAGATCGCGCCATTGCACTCCAGCCTGGGTAACAAGAGCGAAACTCCGTCTCAAAAAAAAAAAAAAGACTAGCCTCATCAACAGAGACTCCGCCTCTACAGGGGGAAAGGAAGACGCTAGCAGGATACCTTTACCGCTGATGGAGAGAAACCAATCGGTGGCAGAAGGGAACGTCAGAAAGCCTGCAACACGAGACTAAGTTCATGCTCTGTTTCTGGCTTTGAAAATGGAGGGACTGGCCAGCTGTGGTGGCTCACACCTGTTACCCCAGCACTTTGGGAGGCTGAGGCAGGTGGATCACCTGAGGTCAGGAGTTTGAGACCAGCCTGGCCAATATGGTAAAACCCCATCTCTCCTAAAAATACGAAAATTAGCCCCGTGTGGTGGCACATGCCTGTAATCCCAGCTACCAGGGAGAGTGAGGCAGGAGAATTGCTGGAACCTGGGAGGCAGAGGCTGCAGTGAGCCAAGATTGCGCCACTGCACTCCAGCCTCAGTGACAGAGCGAGACTCCATCTCAAAAATAAAAATAAAAAATTGGAGGACCCTGTTGGAAAGCAAGCTGGTGGCCTTAGGGAGCTGAGCATGGCTCCCAGTTAATAGCCAGCAAGGAATTGGGGACTTGAGTCTTAAAACTGAATTCTGCAAACCACCTGAATGCACTGGAGGTAGATTCGTCCCAGAACCTCAGGCTAAAAGCCCAGCCCAGCCCATGCCTGCCTTTGAACCTCATGCTACCCTAAGCATGGAACCCACAGGTGAGCCCACCAGGATTTCTGATCTCCCAAACTCTGAGCTAGTAAGTGGGTATGGTTTTAAGTCACTAAATGAGTGACAATCTGTCATACAACAACGGAAAATTACTACAGGCTGGGCAGGGTGGCTCATGCCTGTAATCCTAGCACTTTGGGAGGATGAGGTAGGCAGATCACTTGAGGTCAGGAGTTCGAGAGTAGCCTGGCCAACATGGTGAAACCCTGTCTCTACTAAAAATAAGAAAATAACCAGGCGCGGTGGCTCACACCTGTAATCCCAGCACTTTGGGAGGCTGAGGGGGTGGATCACCTGTGGTCGGGAGTTCGAGACCAGCCTGACCAACATGGAGAAACCTCATCTCTACTAAAAATACAAAATTAGCTGGGCGTGGTGGTGCATGCCTGTAATCCCAGCTAGTCAAGAGGCTGAGGCAGGAGAATTGCTTGAACCTGGGAGGCAGAGGTTGCGGTAAACTGAGATTGTGCCATTGCACTCCAGCCTGGGCAACAAGAGCAAAACTCTGTCCCCCCCAAAAAAAATAGAAATACAGATACAAAAATTAGCCAGGCGTGGTGGCTAGCACCTGTAATCCCAGCCACTTGTGAGACTGAGGCAGGAGAATTGCTTGAACCAGGAGGTGGAGGTTGCAGTGAGCTGAGATGGCACCACTGCACTCTAACCTGGGTAACAGAGCGAGATTCCATCTCAAAAAAACAAACACAAAAATAAATAAAATTAATACAGATGTTCCCTGGGTGCTCATGAGAAAGACTAGGGCTGGGCAGACCAGAGAGACTTCCTTGGGAGTGAAGATCTGGAGAAGAGATGTGGCTGCCGTGTGCCAAGGGAAACACACAAAGCCCCCTCCAGAACTCTTCTGAGGAACGAAAGCCTCGAGCTGCCAGGGGAATGGCAGTCAACCCTGTTGCCCCCCAGAGGCGAGAACTTGTGCTTTCCCCCTCAAACAAGGGGCAGGAATATGTCCTGGGCTTTGGCTTGGAGGTCTCCTGACACCAGGGGAGGGACAGGATCACTGTGAGTGAGAGACCCAGGGCCCACCTAGGACTGAGACAACAAAGAGAACTCGTCCACCCACAGGCCTGGAGATGCAAAAAGCAGCCGTCAACACGAGGAGGGGATTAAGAGAGGAAGGTCACTTACTGCACAAAGCGTTGCTAGGGAATTATGAAGCTGGTGGTCCACTGTGGTAACCATGGTGACAAGCCCACCTCCCACTCGACTCCTGGCTGGACCCGCTCAATCACCCTCCGGGCCTCCCTGCTCCTTACACAGTAACAGCTCTGCAGAACCAGCCCATGTCCTAGTCTCTACCATCCTATGCACATCTAGCCTTCCAGAAAACAAAACAAAACAAAAAACAAAACAGAACAAAAAAAAAACGGCCAGAGATGGAAACAGGGAGAGAAAACAACCCACTGCAAAGAAGCAAAGCAACAAAGAGATGTTAATTTCATCTCAGGTCAGCCTCAGCAAGTGCATGTCCACAGATATGCACTGCAAATGAATACAAAACCAAAAAGACACAAGAAAGAGAAACGAATACATCCTCCATCACAGTAAAAGATATTTTTATTTTTCTTGATACAGGGTCTCAGTCTCTCTCCCGGACTGGAGTGCATGGTGTGTCCTCGGCTCACCGCAACCTCTGCCTCCCAGGCTCAAGCGATTCTCCTGCCTCAGCCACCCAAGTAGCTGAGATTACAGGCGCCCACAACTACCACCCAGTTATTTTTTGTATTTTTAGTAGAGATTGGGTTTCACTACATTGGCCAGGCTGATCTCGAACTCCTGACCTCAAGTGATCCACCTGCCTCAGCCTCCCAAAATGCTGCAATTACAGGCCTAAGCCACGGTGCCCAGCCGTCACCATAGTAAAACATTTTAATGCCATTTTTAGAAGCTAAGATGTAGAATACAAAAAAATAGCAAGGATATATAAGATCTAAGTAACAGGCTGGGCACAGCCTGTAATCCCAGCACTTTTGGAGGCCAAGGCAGGTGGATTACCTGAGGTCAGGAGTTCAAGATCAGCCTGATCAACAAGGTGAAACCCTGTCTCTACTAAAAATACAAATTATCTGGATATGGGAGCACACACCTGTAATCTCAGCTACTCAGGAGGCTGAGCCAGGAGAATTACTTAAACCCGGAAGGTAGAGGTTGCAGTGAGCCAAGATCGTGCCACTGCACTCCAGCCTGGGTGACAGAGTGAGACTCCATCTCAAAAAAAAAAAAAAAAAGAAGAAGAAAAAGATCAGATCTAAATAACAATTTAAAAGCCTGAGCTATTGGCTGTAGACAAAAGAATGCACTCAAATGATGAGCGAATGTACTTTTTTTTTTGAGATGAAGTCTCGTACTGTCACCCAGGGTGGAGTGCAGTGGCTCAATCTCAGCTGGCTGCAACCTCCACCCTCCTGTGGTCAAGCAAGCACATCTTGCTAATTTTTGTGTTTTTGATAGAGATGGGTTTTTACCATGTTGGCCAGGCTGGTCTGGAATTTCTGGCCTCAAGGGATCTGCCTGCCTTGGCCTCCCAAAGTGCTGGGATTACAGGTATGAGCCACCACAACCTGGCCTAGCCTGCCATTTTTTGTAAGTATCCCATAAGTGCTTAAAAGAATACATTCAGCTGGGCATGGTAGCTCATGCCTGTAATTCCAGTACTTTGGGGGGCCAAGGCAAGGCCAAACCTTCACCTCCTGGGTTCAAGTGATCCTCCTGCCTCAGCCTCCCGAGTAGCTTGGATTACAGGCGTGTGCCACTATGCCAGCTAATTTTTGTATTTTTAGTAGAGATAGGGTTTCACCATGTTGGGCAGGCTGGTCTCGAAATCCTGACCTCAAGTGATCCACTTGCCCAGAGTGCTGGGATTATCAGGCGTGAGTCACCATGCCTGGCCAAGATTTTTTTTTTTAACCTGCTCTGTTTCTTTTCTTTAAAAAAAAAATCAGGATAACACTTTATTTCATAAAACAGAATACCTGTTCCTCTTTTTTTTTTTTTTTTTTTTTTTTTAGACAGAGTCTCACATTGTCATCCAGGCTAGAGTGCAGTGGTATGATGTCGGCTCACTGCAACCTCCGCCTCCTGGGTTCAAGCGATTCTCCTGCCTCAGCTTCCCAAGTCTGGGATTACAGGCAAATGCCACCATGCCCCGCTAATTTTTGTATTTTTAGTAGAGATGTGGTTTTGCCGTGTTGGTCACACTGGTCTTGAACTCCCAACGTCAGGTGATCCACCCACCTCAGCCACCCAAAGTGCTGGTATTACAGGCATGAGCCCTCATGCCCAGCTGTGTTCCTCTCGTTTTTAAATTTCTGCAAATTTCTGCTCAGACTCTTTTACCTTTGGGGATTTGCTCTTTTTTTCTTTTTTAAGTATTTTTTTCTGGGAGACACAGACTGGACAAATGGGGGTGGGTGCTCCCTATTCTTTTTTTTGAGATGGAGTCTTGCTCTGTCACCTGGCTGGAGTGCAGTGGGGAGATCTTGGCTCACTGCAACCTCCATCTCTCGGGTTCAAGCAGTTCTCCTGCCTCAGCCTCCGAGTAGCTGGCACTACAGGTGCATGCCACCACGCCCAGCTAACTTTTGTATTTTTAGTAGAGACAGGGTTTCACCATGTTGGCTGGGATGGACTGGATCTTTTGACTTCATGATCCCCCCACCTCTGCCTCCCAAAGTGCTGGGATTACAGGCATGAGCCACCGTGCCCGGCCCCTATTCTTTTTTCTATGCTAGCCACATGAGCTGAATGTGGCTAAGTTTCAGTCTTTTAAGATATGCATTAGGACTGTAATAAGAAGTTACAAAGAGAAAACTAAAATCAATTCTTGGAAAGGTTTGATTAAACCTAATAAAATAATTGGTTTGTACTTAAGATTAATAAAATTGGCCAGAAGCCAGCCACAACTGGGCAAGCAAAGGTGAAGATAAACCATTTTTGGACATGAAAAAGACAA